GGTGCCAAGTTGACTGTCGGTATATCGAAGTGCTGAAGTGTTTGTACAGTAGGGCTACGATGGCTATCCGAGTACAGAACCAGAGCTCGAAACCTATCCAACTGCAGAGAGGTGTAAGACAGGGTGACGTTATATCCCCGAAACTCTTCACCGCTGCTTTGGAAGACGTTTTCAAGCTACTGGACTGGAAAGGATACGGTATTAACATCAATGGCGAGTACATCACTCACCTTCGATTTGCCGACGATATAGTCCTTATGGCAGAATCGCTGGAGGACTTAAGCACTATGCTCAATGACCTCAATAGTGCCTCCCAACGGATAGGTCTTAAGATGAACATGGACAAAACAAAGATTATGTTTAATGTCCATGTCACACCTATGCCGGTAGTTGTTGGGAGCACTATGCTCGAAGTTGTTGACGAGTACGTTTACCTGGGACAAATAGTCCGACTAGGTAAGTCCAACTTCGACCGAGAGGTCAATCGACGGATTCAACTCGGCTGGGCAGCGTTCGGGAAATTACGACATATCTTCTCGTCAGGTATACCTCAATCTCTGAAAACTAAAGTGTACAACCAGTGCGTGTTGCCAGTGATGACTTACGGATCAGAGACGTGGTCCTTCACTGCTGGCCGTATGAGGACGCTCAAGGTCGCTCAGCGAGCTATGGAGAGGGCTATGCTCGGAGTTTCTCTGCGTGATAGACTCAGAAATGAGGATATCCGCAGTAAAACCAGATTGACCGACATAGCCCAACGGATTAGTAAGCTGAAGTGGCAATGGGCCGGCCATATAGCTCGAAGAACCGATAACCGATGGGGAAGAAAGGTTCTCGAGTGGCAGCCTCGTACCGGTAGGCGTAGTGTAGGGCGACCCCCCACTAGATGGAGTGACGACCTGGTAAGATATGCAGGAAGTCGATGGATGCAGGTGGCTCAGGACCGTGCTTTGTGGCATTACTTGGGGGAGGCCTATGTTCAGCAGTGGACTTGTGAAGGGCTGTGATGATGATGATGATGATGACAAACTTTTCTCTTTTAACCAACATTATGAGCCTCGGGTTACTTTTTACCAAACAATGCTGGAAAGAAACAGGAAAAAATTGTCCACATTTAGAAGGGATGGATACGTAAATCGTCATAACTTACATGAGTTGCACATAGAAAATCGAAATTTGACGAGACAGATCGATCACAGTATGGCTTTAAGATTCCTATGTAGTATGTATTGCAGTCCATGGACAAATTCGCTTTATTTCAAACAGATAAGGCAACAGATGCATTGCTATTGCCACCTGTGGGCGGGATTTAGTCTACTCCTAACTTTTTGGTTTTATCAATAGGACTAGAATAACACCTATTCTGCTCTGCCATCCGGTTAGCAGTTTGGCGTATGGCTCTGAGAAAGAGCGCAGGTCGTGTTGATCCCCAGGGCAAGTCTGAGGAGTTCTTTGGACCTTTGGACCTTTGGACCGGAATTTTGATTAGTACACTGCATTCGGATTTCTTTCAAAATAATTTGCCAAATTTATTGGAGGACGTGAATAAATATTTAAGACTAAACTAAAGTAAGGCGGTTACCCAGCGTACTACGGCCGCTCAATGAAAGAATATCTCGATAAAGAATACCCAAACAGATTGATAGGGCGGTCACAGAAAACATGCATTGTATGTATCCACTTACAATATATTTTGTGCCATTCGCTTGTCGCATAATATTTTTGTCAATCAAAGTTTAACTCAATTAAGAAACATTACTATTAAAGGCACCGGCCTAAGGGAGTTTCCCTTGGGCCGGTGACTTTTTTCTAGTCAGTTTTCCATTTTCGTTTTTATTACGATGTGTACACCCTACCTAAAGACAGGCTGGTGCTATGTACCACCAAATAATATGTACACAAGACCACTAGATGTGTTATTTATTCTCCGAACCTTCCAACATTACAAGGCGACGCTGCCAGGTGGTGCGCTGCTACAGTGCACGCGCACCACTGGGACCTGCATAGAAGAAAAAGTTATTTATTGAAAAAAATAAATACGTCAATATAAATATATAACAAAAATAAATACCGGATGTGACAAAAAATCGAAATACGAATATAAGATGAGACTACAATTTTACTTATATTAAAAGAAGATTTCTGAAGAATAATTTAATAATGACAAGGACAACGAAAAACCAAGAAATTGATAGAATCAGGCGTTACTTTGCGGAAATCCATTATAATAAAGATATTAATAGTTATTTTGCAACAATCCGCTTAATTAAATAAAATGATATGTCTTCCCTAGTTTGAAAAAGACCTCCCGCTCTCCCGCAATTGCGTGCACTAATTCCGTCACTACTAATCGCAGCACCACTACTCCCAACACCACTATTCCAGGAAAGACACACTATCGACGATAATACGACACTTGTTGTGCCTCAACACGATGCATCTTCAGGTGATGTTGACTCCACGGCGGCTGACCGCTAAGTCCACCAGAACCAAGAAATGACAAACAAAGACGAAATGAAGAAAAACCTGAAGAATAAATTATATAAGTAGCTCCAGTAGCATAGATTTTAAATCAAGATTGACAAGTTTTAATAATCCAGCAAATATCTTAATAAAATTCCAAATTCAAAAAAAAGAAGCGTACAAGGAAGTCCAGGCCAAACCATATCGATGAGCTAACAACATGTTCGAGTGCCAAAGCAACACAAAGAAGTCACGGGTACAACAAGCGACTAGCCAAGTTCCGAAGCAGGTACAATACTCGAAAGAGAATTTAAGTTAAATTATATAATTGTATCGATGTCTAATGTCATATTATATTATTACTTATATAATGTCATACACAGTTCTGGAGAAAGAAAAAATTAAATCATTAATTAACAAGTAGGAAAAATATATTTACTAACAGAACAATTCAAAATTATGTATTATACCGTAACAATTAATCGGTAAATAACTACTTGTTCGTAATAATAAAAATCTTTGTTTTGCAACAATATGGTGACACAATGGTGTTCAAGTATAATTAGCTCTACATATTCTATTATAGTAGTATGCAAATATTAATGGTCAGGTAACTATAATAATATTTATCGAAATTATAACAACAAATAAGTTATCCAGTACTATTAGATTGAGTAACTAATTAATAATGTAGGTAACAGCATCAGAGGAAATACTTAAGAATACCTAAGATTATTATTATAACTCAATGTGACATACTTGATATAATCATTAATTTGTCAATCACTATATTTTATAAAATATTAATTCAACATACAATTATCATTAATTTGTTTCTCTATTAATGTCAAATTTATTAATTCTTTATGACAAATTTTATATATAGTAATAATCAAAAAAAAAATTATTACTAAGTAAGTAAGTTCGTATAAGAGTTCTCCTAATAAAGAATAACAATAACATATACAGGTACATAAGACCAGCCTGTTCTTAGGTAGGGTACACATCGTAATAAAAACGGAAATGGAAAATTGACTAAAAAAACTATCCTATTATAAACTACATAATTATGTATGTCGCGAGCCTAAGAGAACTTTTATTAGTAATGTTTCATAACAGAGTTAAACTTTGAATGATAGAAAAATATCCCATTTTGTACAAAATTTAGCTAGAATGTATTTAAAAGGTGTGAGGAATGAAAGAAAAGAATATTAAAAAGTGGGAATACGAAAAATTGCGTAGATAAGTTTCGTCTTTATTGGACTGATCACTCAAATACTTGATGATACTTAAACAACTGGTATTGAATCTGTTGGGAGCGAGAGTTGTGTAGGTTAGTATATAGAATTCCAGTAGGAAAGTGTATAGTAACCGATACAGGCAAAAAGATGATAACATGTTATAGTTCATTTCAAATAGGATGGCAGGATTCCACTTGAGACTTAGCAATTACAGCTGTAATGTTAATCTATTGTTGTGTGATTATTTTATTGCTTTAACACTTGAAGTTATGCATCTGTTGATAATACTGAACCAGTATAGCTGGAATGACGAATTTTGGTACTTGAACATTAAAACAAATTAAATTGTAGATAAAAAACCTTTATTACTTTTAACTTAACTATTTTAAATACTTATAACAACTTGTTAATATTTTGTTTAATCAATCACTCTGAAGAACATTCATCGGTATCTGTGTCCTCACACGTATTTATTATAAATGGTTGTATCCGATCCCTCGAAAATTCGTTTTTCACTCTTATGACATGGTCACAAACATTCTTCCAAAAAATGGGATTAGTAGAATTTATTACGTTTCGTACACTTTGGATTACATTTTCCCCTATTGTAGGCGTAACGTTTGACTTACGGACAGTTTTTTTTATTTGGCTCCACATTAACTTAATTGGGTTCAATATACAATAATAAGGTGGGAGTCTTATTGTCTCATGACCAGCCTCTTGTGCGTATTCATCGACTACATATTTTTTTTCAAAATAATTGTTTTTGACTACTTCCAACAAAATTTTAATTGTTGATTTCTCTGGCACAGAAATGTTATGACTTCTTAAAAAACTTATTATGTCAATTTTCCTAGTGTTTGTGCTGGGAATTTTTTCTATTTGTCGGCTGTGGTATGATACGTTATCCATAACAATCACACTGCTACTGGGAATATTAGGCAAAAGCTGATCAGTGAACCATTTCTCGAATAATCCAGAATCCATATCTTCATGGTAGTCTGCACTAGAGCTTTTCAAATGTTTGCTAGAGATCAGTAAAGCCCCTGGTATCCAGCCCTGTTCACCGCCTGCGTGTAATATTATTAAACGTTTACCCCTAGAACATGGAGCTTTAGTTGTACAACTTGGTGAATTGTCTGTGTACACTTTTTTTAGAGTATCGTGAGTGTCAAACCATGTTTCGTCTTTTTTTTTTTCAAATTTTTCCCTTAGTAATAAAAGTCGGGGACTTTCCATTACAGTTCTTCTTTCATCTAATTTTCCATACTTGAATCCAAGTTTTTTTAATAGTCTTCAGAGTGTAGTTTCTGAATATTCAAAACCAGCTTCACTTCTCATCAATGATTGATAAATCTCACGTAACGTTGGAATCTCATTGTTGAGGTAAAAATTGTAAATAGTCCTCCTCACATGTTCCTCTGTAAAATTATCAATTCTTTTAAAACTTATCTTGGTCCGTTTACGAGGAAGATGATTAGATCCTGCTGACACTATTCTACAAACAGTTCTTATAGGCACGTTTGTTAATTCCGATGTCTCTTTAATCACTCCCTTATCACCCATGCGTTTCAAAAGCTTATTGTAAACACTCAAAACTATGTCTTGAGCGTCTGAACTTAAATGTCTTTTTCTACGCTGAACACTATTTTCATCAATTACAGATGCACTATTTGATATTTCCCATGGTCGAAACATGTTTATTTGTACGTCAGTGTAATAACGAAGTTACAAGACGACTGAATTTTTGACAACAATGTCATCGTGTATTTAACAAAAGCATCAAAACTTGTTTGCTGCCACAAAAATACCACGTCAGGATAAGGTCTTCCCAGGTATCGGTTGTAAATACCACTTCTTTTGTTATCGCCTAATGACCGCTTCAAGTACAATCCTGCCATGCTATTTGAAATGAACTATACTAAAGAATACGGCAATGAACAAATAAAGAAGACATAAAAGAAAAGTTGACTTAATAAATAAATGATAAAAAGTCACGGAACGTCCATTACTGGTACAAGTATAACATAGAGTTCTCGAGCAGGGTGTGTTTCCGTGATTGGATGATAAAATTTTCATTGTATCTCAATGTATTTTTAATACAGTTGCTCAAAAGTGGCGTATTGCAGGTACGTATAGCGTTCGGGATGTGGGCTATTACATACTCGAGCTTTTTCTTTACCTTTCCGAACTGGTGCGTTCTCTTTCCCAAATGTCAAAATAATGTCTATTAAAAAGAAAAAAGCAACCACGAAGTTTTTACTTAAAAAAATTCATAGAAGTTTTTATGACTCATGCAAATATTTCTATAAAGAAGCTACCAACTTGTTTCAATATCAGAGTTAATGATTTGATTCAATGAGTTAGGTTAGGTTTCATTTCATTTCATCACATTAAATGTCATTTTCATTTCATATCGATTAAAAAATTCTACTGAAGACTTGACCGTATGGGCATAGTTCCCTTTGCCTACCCAGAAGGGGTGAAGAAAACAAAAAATATCTGCGTACGTATAATATTCTTCCACGGTTGGTGCCATTATCCAAAAATGTTCTTTGCGAGTTTAGTTGTTTGTTACACAAAATGAGTAATTTCGACGATATTTTATTTGCATTAACACCACCGGAACTCAATATAACTGCACAAAATGCTTCGGAGAACATTTTTCCGGAAAAGTCGAAAAGTCGCTACATATCTACATACGACGAATTTATTGCTTGGAGAGAAGAGAGAAAAGCAGTTTTTCAGAAAATGTTATGTTAGCATACTTCTCCGAACTCTCCACAAAATTAAAACCTTGTACGTTATGGTCGAGGTTTTCGATGATAAAAATTATGCTGAAAATAAGGAACAACATAACTACCCAAAACTAAATGCTTTCTTAAAACGACGATCAGAAAGACGGTTTTACAATTAAAAAATCGAAAATATTAACATCGATTGAAGTGGAAAGGTTTTTGAACGAAGCTCCCGATCATCGTTATTTAACCACAAAGGTAATTTATTAATAAATTACCTTTGTGGCTAAATACTTATATTTTTCTTTAGTATTCAGTTTACGAAATCGGAAAATACATTCAATATATTATTTAAAAAAATATTAACGAAATCCCTTTTTTGTAGGTTGCGCTAATTTTAGCGTTGTTGGAGGTTGCCGCAGTGAGGAGTTAGCCAATATTACTTTAAAAGATGTTGAAGCCCATGGAAAAATGCTACTAATCAAGATTCCGAATACAAAAAAAAGATACCGAGAGGCTTTGTGGTTGAAGGAGAATTTCTTAGAATAGTGCAAAAATATATGAATTAGCGGTCCCAAAAAGCAAAAACCGAACGTTTTTTCCAAATTTATCAAAAAGGGAATTGTACAGCTCAAGCAATTGGGATAAACAAATTTGGTAATACGCGAAAAGAAATAGATACGTTTCTTGGTCTGCCGAATGCTGAGTATTATACTGGGCACAGCTTCAGGAAGGCCTCTGCTACACTATTGGCATATTCAGGAGCCAATTTGACGTCTTTTAAGTGACTAGGAGGTTGGAAGTCACACAAAGTTAAAGAAGGCTATATTGCTGGTTCATTAAACAACAAACTAGAAACTGGGAAAAAAATCACACAATCCATTAATTTAAAGTTCAGTCCGTCTCCTTCTCATGACAATACTGAAGAGAACGTTCGTCCATCTACCTTCGGTGATAATGATAATTCATCAAATCCAATTCCATCAACCAGCAAACGACATTGTATAAGACCTTTGACAAATATACATGAACAATCATACGAAATTATAATAGTTTGTCTCAAACAATAAATATGCAACCTAAAACTTCGCCAGTTAATATAAAAACTATACCAATTTCAACGAATATGTAAATTATAACTTTTATAAGAAATAAATGATTAGTTAGTTGAGTTTATTGTTTTTCTATTATTTTATTAAATTTCTTCATTTTTTCGCAACTGGATTAAAAATAGTTGTTCAGTATACGTGCGGAACCGCAATTGCACCTTGTCCAAATTGTCAACCCTCACCTTCGGCTCTTTGCAATTTGCGCACTCATAATGAAATATATTCATTATGAGTGCGCAAATGCTTTAAAATAATGATTATTATTTTAAAGCATTTGCGCACTCATAATAATTTTTTAAAATAAGAATTATTATTCTTTTTTTAATATTTAAATTAAACATCGATTTTTCGAATGCTAAATTTATTAAACTCACAAAATGAATTAAATTGAACAAACAAAATGCCTTAATTAAAAATCAAGGATTGAATATTTACAGCAAATACTTAAACTGCCTTCTTTAACTCGCAATGTACACTCGGAATCTTGTGAGTGAGTCAAAATCAGGAGATGGTCTGCAGGCAATTATGGCAAATATCTCCAATCTGTGGTGGAGGCCTATGTTCCTAAGTGAACTGTACCGGTAACGCATTCACTTACGCTGCCTTCACGCGGCAATTTATGGACTAGGCAGCATAACTAATAATAAATTAATCGATCATTAAACCTAATATTACCAACAAACTAGCAGTTGTATGTTATTTATACGTGGTAGAGCCATACTGCACCTAAAGGGGCTGTTAGAGAAGAACCGTGTGAGTACTGTCGTCAAATAATGTTAAAATTAAAATAAATTTTGTTAAATATTAGACTTAAGAATGTTAACATTAATTTTGTGTGTACATATGATATAAACGTGAGGTTAGTCATAATACAAAATACAAAAATGTTTTCATGTTAAACGTAAAGGTAAACCGCGTAGTGAATATGTAAATATGAATTTTCAACGACTCACCGAATACTCTCTAAGCACCGAACCCAAGGACATAATAAAATAAAACACTGTTTATTTGTTGTTGGTACAAACTAAAATTACCTGAGGAAAAAAATGTTAAAATGTTGTTTTAAAGTCACTTCATAATATTGTAATTTAATATCTATTTTAAAATCTTCTAATGCTTGAAAAGAATTTACTATTGGAGGAACAATATCAAGATTCTGGAGAACCCAAGCTAATAAAAACTGAAACTAATTTGGAAAACTGCACCAGTTGTAAAATGAATCTTATTTATGAAATAAACAGATGTCTGCAGAAAATTCTTCTTTTTGTTCACTGTAAACGACCAGTGCTGGACAAGAGCCTTTCCCGTTGAGGGACGCTACTGCCCGCCATCAATGGGAGCTTTTAACATCTAGCGTAATTAAAAAGCATTTCTAATAGCCACTTTTTACGACACCCACGAAAATACATGGAGTGATGAATTCTATTACGACGATGTCACGCGTCAATTAAAATAGTTTGTAAGTGTTAATATTGAAAACAAATTAAACAAGTACATGGCCTAAAGAAAGAGCCGTGGTGCCCCAGTGATCATTTTTCATGTAATTCTCAGACATGTGGATTTCCTGCAATTGTTGCTCTTACAACCGAATATCTTTACTTCAAAGTACAATCAGCAATAGCAGTAGTGTCATTACACGAGTCATTCCACACGAGCTCTGTCAAATTTAAGGCAATAACCTGGCCTCTGTGCTAATAATATATTTTTTGTTATAAGGGTTTTAAAACTTTATTATTCCGAAGTTAACTAATACAAACATTTCCAGTGGTATTTTTTTATGTAAGTGAGGGTGTATAATAAAATGAGTTGTTTCTAACAAATGTCTCTAAAACTAGCTTAAAATGGCGAAAAAAATTGAAATGAAAATTCATTCGGTCTAATTATGATTTATACATTTCTTCTTTATCAGCCCATAAGGGTACCGTACTGGGCCTAGTCCCTCCCGTCAAGCGTAAGCTTAGCAGGCGAATTAACGATCGTAATTCTAGACGTCTCGTACTTTTGACGCTGCTCCCCATCGCCCGTCTGGGTTAACACTTGGTCTGGGTCTGTGATGGTTTCTCTTAAGCTCAAAATGTGATTATGCTGACGGAAAAATCATTCTTGTAAAATGTTTAAACTTAAGAATAAAAATATAACAAAAACCATATTGATAATACATTCAAATGCGCCTTATTATCTTTCACTTTATTAAAAAAACGCTTAGAATCGTTTAATACATGAACACTTCCATCATTTAAAATAAAGTTATCTCTTATATGTTAGTGAAATAGATAAAATTACGGTTTCCCACACATTACAAGCGATTTAACCGATACAAAGCTTTTCAGCGCAAAACGTTACCTGAAACGCTCCACGGTGAATAAAACAAGTTTAACCTCCACTCACAGCCGCTTGCAGCTTTATTTCGTACCTTGTATCAAATATTTGAAACGCTGTCATTGTACTGTCTCACAGATAAATGTAACTAATATGTGTATCAAATAAACGGTAAATGTAGCGGTGAACGGAATAAGGTATGATTTAGTTTTGTTTATTTTAGTCTAACAGCGCTTAAATTTAATCATATATTTTAAACTCCTATCTATATATATATATATATATATATATATATATATATATATATATATATATATTTCTCGACCGATTTCGGCCACGGCGACCTCTTCAACTCCGATCCTGTCGCTGGTATGCTCGTGCATGGCTAACGTAGCCGATCACAAGGTGGGCGTGCTTTGAGTTCATCACGTCGGGCATCCAGTTCAGAGAAGCGATTCTCCTCAAACATTTGACCTTGGCTTTCACCAAAGACCTCCACTCCGATCGTCAAGCGGCTGCTTGCTCCCACTCT